AGGCGCTCGGCAGCCCGCGCGCTGTACAGCGCGGGCGGCGACACCACAAAGGAGCGGGAGGTGACGCAGGAATGTGCTCGCAAGCCTGGCCAACCTCGACTCCCTCATCCAGCCTGTCTTGTTGGGCTGCCGGTCCTGCTTGGACGCCGCCCCCCTCCGAACGCGAGGCGACTACGCGAACCAGACAGCCGCGGAGGGCGCAGCGGGCCGCTGCCACCTCCGGGCGCGCAGGATGCCGCTCCTCGCCGCGGCTCACGCCAGGCTAGTCGCTGACCGTGCCGTCGTCGTCGTCGCCCGACGCATTGCTCTCGTCGGACGGCGGGCAGGACAGGGTGGCGCCGCCGTGAGCCCGCAGAGCACTGCGGAGCTCGCTGCCCTTTGAAACGTCGAGCAGCGCTCTGGTCAGAGCCTGAATGCTTGCCGGCGGCGCGTCCTTGAGAGGCGCCTTCTGGAGCTCGACGCGGTCCCCCTTTGCGTCCAGGTGGGTCAACACCCAGAGCGGCTCCTTTGGCACAGCGCAGGCACCCTGCAGCTCGCCGTTGAGGTCAAACGCGACGGCGCCCAGCTCCAGGTCCACGAGCATGCCGATGACGTCTCCGTGTGGCTGGAGCTTCCTGAACTGCTTCACGGCGCGACCATCGGCATGTAGCGCCCCCAACCCGTCAACGATGCTCGGGTACTGGCAGCGCATGCGCCCGCAGTAGTAGGTCCACGCCTTCAGCGAGCGCCCGCTGTCGCGCGGACCAGCGTGTCCCTCGTCCCTGGTAAGCCCACACCACTGCTCGTCGCCGATCTCGTGCATGATGAACCTGAAGTAGTGCCTCCCGCTGCGAATGGGCTCTTCCGTCAGCACGTTGCAGTAGTTTTTTCGAAGGTCGGGGCTCGATACGACATTGCCCTGGCCCTCGAGCATCTCCTTGCCCGGGTTGACCTCGACATCCCAGGTGCTCAGCGGAGTCTCGTCCACCACCAGCTGGTACTCCTCCTCCACCAGCCCCTCGCCGTCCGGGCACACGTCAAAGTTGGAGGTGATCTTCTGGAGTGCGCGCGGGCAGCCCGTGCGTGCCTCCAGCTCCGCCTTCAAGGCTGCGACGTCGGCGGGCGGCGGGCTGAGCTCGGCGACGGGAGCTCCAGATACGGCGCACACCACCTTCACAACGCCACGGGGCCGAAGAGTCTCCGACGTCGTGCCCATGGCACCGAGAGCGCTCTGCTGGTTCCTGCGGAGGGGGGGGGCCTGCCCTGGACACGTTTGGCCCAGACGCCTCGCGCCCAAACGGCTGGATCCCTTCCTGCTCGAGCCAAAAGGCCTACCGAATGCCAGATGGTCCCTTACGGGCCCCTCAGAGGACCCCCGGAGGCCCCCGAAGAGTCCCCAGGCGTCCCCAAGAGGTCTTACGAGGTCCTCGGGAGGCCCGCAGGAAGTCCCCAACCAGTTCCTCCCCCGAGGGCTCCCCCAAGGGCCCCACAACGGCCAATGGCTGGGCCATACTCTGTCCCAACGCTCGGCCACATAGACGTTTGCAAAAGCGCACGGGGCGGCGGTGGTGCGCCGAAGGCGTCTTCGAGAAGTACATCGCAATACGTACCAGGATCGCACAGGGGCCGAAAAGATCGAGCACACGCAACGGACCCCGGCCTGCAAAATCGAACGGCCCATACCTCTGACACGGAGACGTTGTCGCAAAGCAGTGGGCAACCGTGGCTCCTGCTCACGAAAGGCTAACGTGCGTCCAGGTGCAGGGCGCGAGGGCAGCCCTTCGAGAGTGGGCGACAGCCTTCGAACTCGAACAATCAGTTCAGGCCTCTCCCCATGCCTCCGATGCCATGACTTTTTCAAGCCGCGGGCTCCGAAGCTTACGACACAATCTCTGGCATGGGTCTCGTCGCGTGGGAGCCTTGTTGTTTTCTGCTGGTTCCCGGGCCCGACTGGGGGGGCCTCCGGAGGAATTCCAGAAGCCTTAGCAGTCGGGCGACGAGAACCGTGCACGCACCCCGGTCCTGGCTTGGACCATCCTGCTCCCAGGATCGGCGTATATGCCTCCCTGGCCACAGCAGGAGGGCGCATGAACCGATCATGGACTCGGGATGAGCGTGGTCAGGATCGATGTATGTGCCAAGTGCTGCTCCTTCTGACCAGGAGCACTGCTCGGAAGACTTGCGGGAATAGCGTGGGAGCGTGACCCGAGACGACGTTGAGGCCCCTGCACAGATCTGCGACGGCTTGGGCGCGAATCAATGGAGGGGACATGAATGGAGGGCCTGGGCCCTGAGCGCCCCCTTTTGGGGCCCTCAAGGGCCCCTTTGGGAGCCCGCAAGGGCCCCTTTTCGGCAGCCCTCGCTGCCCCCCCAACTCTCGCCCCCCCATTGCGCGGCATCCAGCGCAGACCTGCGACGGCTCTGCAGATTCGGGCCGCCAGGGCGCGGGCCATTGATGGGAGCGGGGTGCAGCTGAAACCGGTCGCCCTCGCCCTCTCGAGATAGGGGCGCCTCGGCGGGCCTCCAGAGGCCGCGCGCCTCCGCCTCCTCCCTTCTCCTCCTCCTCCTCCGCCTCCTCCTCCTCCACCTCCTCCTCCTTCTCCTCCTCCACCTCCTCCCCCTCATCCTCCTCCTCCTCCTCCTCCTCCTCCTCCTCCTCCTCCTCCTCCTCCTCCTCCTCCTTGTCCCTCAAGCCACTGGCCCATGAGCTCGCATGTTGCAATGTTTTTTGACAACCCCGCCCCTTCACGGGGGGCTTGAGGGGCATCGCGTCTCCCACAGCTTCGAGTGCAGGCGATCGCGATGGCTAAGAAGAGAAATGTGTCTTCTTCTCGGCCGTGATCTGCATGTGCTAGCTGCGGGAAGCACCAAATGCAACGACGTGCTCCTCAGCCGCGAGTGCAAGTGCAAGACCTGCAACCGACCCGTGTAGTTACCCAAGCAGAAAGCCAAAGGGTGGAGTAGGCAAAGGTGCTGGCGCGGCTGCAGGGGATGGGCTCAGGATGAACTTCGCGCATCCAGTCGCCAAGCAGGTGTTGGCCGAAGAAGTAGCTCGTGCAGCAGCAGCCTCCGCAGCGCCTTCAACTCCCGCAGTCTCTGCTGAGGACGCGGTGGAGAAGGCTGCGGGGGCTCGGCGCGACGCGAGCACCAACGACGGCCAGGCCATGGCCCCAGTCGTGAGGTGCCCCGGCAACCTTCGCAAAGCGGAGGCCAAGGAGCAGGAGATGGCCAAGTACCTGGCAGAGGCCAAGAACAGCAGGAAGCTGGCGGCAACTGCGCTGGCACGGGCTGCCGGAGAAGCTACCAATGGGGCAAGTTCTCACTCTCGGGAGTCGAAGAGCAATCTCATCAAGCTGCACTGGGACTTGGACTCTTCCAGCACATCCGCGAGCTGGACTGCGATCATGCAGAGCTGGACGAGCTCAAGCACTTCGAGGACGCGCTGCGGCGAGCGAAGGACAGCCTTGCGCTGCGCTCCTGGGCGATGGCGAAGCGGAAGGCAGATGCCCTCGCCATCCAGCAGGTGGCGAGAGGCATGACCCCAAAAAAAGCGGCGTGTCGACGGGGACGCATCCGGTGGCAGCGAGGGCAGCGGGCCCGCCGTGGCTGGCGCTGAAGCGCGACGGCTGCAGCGCCACGGGTGGCGGCTGCCGGGCCGACGGCCGAGGCGAGCCGCAGCCGAGGCGGCACACGCCCCGGCGGCAAGCAAAGCTCGCTTGCGGCAACAGCAGTGCAGGGAGGCGGCAGCAGTCGGCGTGGCAGCGGTTCCGCAGGCAGCGGCGGCCGCACCCGCGGAGGCCGGGGAAGGATCTGCGAAGGATCTGCTTCGGCCGGCCGCACAGGAGGGTCCCAGGCCCCCCGCAGCCACGCCGCCAGCCCATGAGCACGAGGCGGTGAGTAGAGCATGCTCTGCAAAGGTCACCACCTTGGGACATCGAGACTGGGACTGCCTCACACAGTAAGACCGGCGCCGGGCTTCTTCATGCATCGAGGTAGTAACATCTCTCGTCTATGCACTTACTCGAAGTGAGTGGGCAAAGAAGGCGAAACGACTCAAGCTCAAGTACTCAGACAGTTGCGCTCGCGCAGCTGGGCAAGGATCTTCGGAGGCAGCCCAAGCTCGGGCGAACGAAGGACCGGAGCTCCGTTTTCATACTTAGGTCGTTGTTCGAAGGACCCTGGGGCAAAAATCGGCACACGAACACGACAAATTAACGAAAGCAGATCACCCTGTTGAGCTGCCTCGCGCGGTCTTCCGCCAAGCTTGATCCCACAAGCAGTGGTACCCCCAAGGGGAGCACGAAGTTCTCAGTGCATCAGCTCACGTATCTGAATTCCACATCGCCTCCGTCCGACCCGAGAAGGGGGAGGTCGAGGGGAAGACCCAAACGTGTCCCAGGCCTGTTGGGGGGCTGTCGCTCCTGGACCCCAAGGTCGCCAGAGCAAACAAATCCGCCACAGCGCTGTGTCGCGGCTCGCGCGCCCCCTGGCTTTTCGATACTGCTGCTGATGCTGCTGCTGCACAGTAAGACGCAGGACCCCAACAACGCCTCGAGTCTCGAGGACCTTCTGACCCTCCAGACAGGAAGGCCCTGACACTGCTCAAGAAGTAAACTTCCAGGCGGGGCAAGCTATGCAACGCATCCCCCCCCCACCTCGTCCCTGCAAGCCCCCGCTCTGTGCGGTGTCAAATGAGCGCGGCAGCACAAGTACATGGATTGACAGATGGAAGCCGACATCCGCAACGATCGTGTATGGACGTGCGCTTACGACACACACAAGAGTCGTACCCTCCATGCTTCAGCAAAGGTTTTAGCAAGCGATACGACTGATACAATACTCTGGGAATGGCCCGAGACTAGCTGGTGACAGCGATGCGACATCCCGGAATCGGCGCGCCGCGAACGCGCACGCGCGCACAGGCCCGCGCCCCTCACGCGCAGGCATGTCCGCCTCTTCAGCGGACCTCCAGCAGTGAGGTGCACCACCGTGCCCGCAGTTGCGCCACACCGCCCAGCGCGTCAAAACGAGCCGCGGTCCGCTGGGTGCCAGAAGACGCAGTCGCGCCGCTTGCACTCCCTCCCCCACTTGCAGCTGGTGTGCTGCATCTTGTCCAGCAGGGCCTTGCTCTCCTCTTTGGAGGGGTGGCGGTCCGCGCACTGGTTCCTGTTGCACTTCCCGACCAAGTAGAGGAAGCACAAGGTGTTGTCCTTCCCCTTCCCGGAGCCCTTCGGGCCTCTGGCCCTGCTGAGGCTGCGCGCTGGCGGCGGTGCCGGCTGCCGCCTCTCCAGAGGACTCCTGCTCCTCTCGGAGTCGCAGCCGCGCCCGTCGCGCCCTCGGCTGCCGCGGCTGGACCTTGGACTGCGGTAGTCCCGCTCGTCCTTGTAGCCGTCGCGCTGGCGCGTGGGGCTCCTGTGGAGGTGGCGAGGGGACTCCAGCTACACATTAAACTAGAACCAACGCGCGCGCCTCGCGCGCGCTCAAGTTCTAGCTAGGCTTGATCGGCTAACTCATGTAATATCATGTCGGTCGCTTCTTGCGTCCAGGGACTCCCTTGGAGGCCCTGCGCAAGCCTCGGAATCGTATAGAAGGGGAAGTGCGGAAGGTATTCAACGACTTGGGGCCCTCAAAGGCTTCCTGAGTTATTTTTGGAAGGCGAGGGGGATCGAAATTTTGGTCGGTTGTGCAAGAGTAGACCGGGGGCCAAGCTTGGAAAACAAAACCAACATGTGGGATTCCCATTTGTTTCCAGTTCCTCGGCGCTGTTCGGCGCTGTTGTTTGTTTGTGCCTCGCGGGTTTTGTTAGCTGGGCCCCTCAGGGGTGTGGGATCTTCCAGACCCCCTGAGGCTTCTGGAGGCCTCCTGGAGGCCTGGAGAGCCGTCGGGAGGGTGTCTCGGGCTGCGCGGGAGCGTGTTGGGCCGTTCTTTACGTTATGGGGCTCCTTGGGGTCGTCATGGGCTGTCCTTCGGCGTCTCGGGGTCTCCCCCTGGGAAGCCGGGAGGCGCGGTACCGGCCAGATGTCAGGGGATGTGTGGGACCCCGAGTAGAAGTCCCACTTTTCTAAAGAAGGGAATTCTGGGAATTCCCTTCTTTAGAAAAGTAGCTGTCTTCTTCTGGGACCCCTCTCGGGCGCTTCTTGGGCTTCTCTTGGGCCGTCTTGGGGGCCGATTGGGCCGTCCTGCGTTCCTCCTGGGCCGTCTTGGAGATTTCTTTAGGGCCTCCTAGGCCGTTTTGGGGGGCCGCTTGGGCCGTCTTGGACGCGGTGACAGCCCAAGAGGCGAGCATACGAAAAATATACGCTTCCACATAGGAATGAACGGATTTTAGTTTCTTGGGGCTCTCTTGGGGTACCTCTTGGAGCATCTTGGGGTGCTTTGGGGGGCCTGCCTGGGGCCTCTTGGGGGCGTATCGGCGCCTCCTGGGATCTCTTGGGGCCGAAAGCTCGGAATTCGAGAGTGGCTTTCTTTCTCTGGGACTCCTCTCGGGCGCGTGTTGGGGCTCTCTTGGGCCGTCTTGGGGGCCCATTGGGCCGTCCTGGGCTTCTCGTGGACCGTCTTGGAGCTCTTTTGGGGGCCGCCTAGCCGTCTTGGGAACCCCTTGGACCGTCTTGGACGCGATGACAGCCCAACAGGCGAACATACGAAAAATATACGTTTTCCCAAAGGAATCGGACGATGTTTGCTTCTTGGAGCTCTTTTGGGGTGCCTCTTGGAGCGTCTTGGGGTGCTTTTGAGAGCCTTCCGGGCGCTTCGTGGGGGCTTCTCGGCGCCTCCTGGAGCCACTTGGGGCCGAAAGCTTGGAATTCGATGGTGGCTTTCCTCCTCTGGGGCCCTCTCGGGCCCGTCTTGGGGACTCTCTTGGGCCGTCTTGGGCCCTTCGTGGGCCGTCCTGGAGCTCTCTGGGGCTGTATTGGGGCCCTCTGGGGCGCGTCCTCGGCCGGACCGACAGCGAAAACAAGCAATATGTTGAAAATATACGTTTTACGAACGGAATGGGGCTATTTTGGCTCCTTAGGGCTCTCTTTGGGGCCCTATTGGGGGTCGCTTGGAGTGTCTTGGGGGCTTCTGAAGCCGCCTTGGAGGCCATGTTGGGCGTCTGGGAGCGACCTTCGGGCGCCCCGGGTCTGCTCTGGAGCCTCTTGGGGCCTCCTTGGTGCCTTCTGGCGGTCTTCTGTGAGGCCCTGGGGCTCCCCGAAGGCCCCGGAGTCCACATTTGTGGTAGCGGCGCCGGCCCCGGGCGCCCGGACACGATGCGCCGTTATATGTATACGTGACGGCGTCCAGCAACCACCCTGAACCAAGAAACCGTGCCACCTCCTGGGGGCCCGATGTTTACTCCCGCGGGTTTCCGCCAGCTTTCTGCCGGGGAGAAGATGCCCACTCGTTCGGTCCCTCGAAGGCGAGGCCCTTTCTGGAGCGCGCCCACGTATACACCGACCCTGGCCAGGCCCACCCTGGGCCCAGGATGCACCTGGCCCGGGTCGGCGGAACTGTGCTGCACTCGTCGCCGGATGTGGATAGGATTCAGGCCTCCCCACCCCTGACAGACGCTCGCTTCTGAGGACCATCCTGGCGCCGCTCGCTCTCCTCGTGCATGGATGCTGCGTCGGACGTCCGTCAACTTGAGTCGGACTTGGGTTTGGGTCGAGTGTGGAGTCGAGCTCGAGCCGAACTAGACTCGAACAAACCAGCCAGGTGGGCCCCGGAATGTTGCCAAACTAACATAGAATCCCCATCCCGATGCTGATGGGAAGGCGCCCATGTGGATCCAGGAGCTCTCTTTGAGTAGGTATGGAAAGTGAGCCAAACTGGACCCCGAAGAGTGTGTTTTGGCGTTCTACGCAATGCAACATGCGGCGCAATCGACGTGGTGCAATACACATGGTGCATTTAATGTATTACCGCAGTGAGTTGTCCACCCCACTGCTCGCGCAAAACATCCCGCCCACCCACCCGCAACTTGGTTTGCAAACCTCATGCGGCGGCGATTGCGATGAGTGCTTGGCGCTGGCCGGTGCATCTCTGCAGCCGCGCCAGCCCGCGCATGCGCGCGCGCAGCGGCCAGGTAGTTTGGCGCGACCGACGAGGCCGCGGTGGTGCTGACCATTCAGCACATCCCAGCATGCACTTGAGTGCGAGTCGGCGGCTTGGGCGGGTGCGGTATCATGGCAACGTCGACAATTGTAGACACGATGGCGATGATAGTGGCGATGTTGGTGACGCCAACTGTAGGAACGATGATGATGATGATAGTGGCGATGTCGGTGCGGATGCCGATCACGCCGACGACGATGACGGCGTCTTCGCGTCGGTGACAAAAAGGTTTTGGAAAGAATTCGACACGCGCGCGCGGCAGACGCGCGACTGGCTCGCATGGTACGATTTGACACGGATCGTGCCACCCCGGCACGCGCGCAAGAACGTTCGAACGAATTTGACATGCGCACGCGAAGCCCATTTGGTAGCATGTTTTGGCCAAGATAACGCACGGATCTCTTAAGAATGCGCAAGAACGCGCGCGCACGCTTTTGATGAAAATCCGCGTTGCGAAACCCTGTGTTTTTTGTATGTGTTTTGGACACTCGGTTCTGAAACCCATCCAAAACTGAAGGTTGCTGAAAGATTTCGGCATGCGCGCGCGACGACGCGCGCGCGTGCACTTCGTGTCATTTGTTGCAAGGGATTCTCGCGACGGCACGCGCGCGATCTCGACATGCGCGCGCGAAGCCCGTTTGGTAGTATGGTCTAGCGAATGTTGAATTACCCCAGTGCGACCCTACCTAGAAGTTGGAGCCCCTAGGAAAGCAGCATTAGTTGCTATGCTATGCTACGCTATGGCATGCCATGCTAGGCTGCGCTATGCTATGCTATGATATACTATGCTATGCTGCGCTATGCTATGCTATGCTACGCTATGCGATGCTAAGCTATGCTATGTCATGCTGCGCTGTGGTATGCTGCGCTATGCTATGATATGCTATGCTATGCTATGGTAAGCTGCGCTATGCTATGCTATGCTTTACTATGCTATGCTATGAGCCGAAATGGTTACGGAAGGCCCTGCTTGCGGGGGCTCCGGTCTGGCCATCGAGGCTAGCTCGGCATCTGTCGCACATTGCTTTTGCTTTGCCTTTCCTTTGCTTTGCTTTTGCTTTCGCTTTGCGTTGCTTTGCGTTGCTTGTGCTTTGCTTTGCTGTCGCTGCTGTTGCTTTGCCTTTGCTTTGTTGCTGTGCTATGCTATGATCTGCTCTGCTATGCTATGCTATGCCACGCTGCGCTGTGCTATGCTGTGCTGTGCTGTTCTGCGCTATACTATGCTATGCTATGCTATGCTGCGCTATGTTGTGCTATGCTAGGCTATGCTATGATATGCTGTGCTGCGCTATGCTATACTACGCTCTGCTATGCTAAAGCTCGGCGAAGCTAAGATGAAGGTAGGCTCAGCTAAGATAAACCTGAGCTAAGATGAAGCTAAGTTAAGCTAAGATGAAATAGGCGAAGCTAAGATGAGATAAGCAACGCTAAGCTAAGGGGACGCAACTGGGGGAACCGCGGGGCGGATTCTGGGGGAACCGCCTGGGGCGTTTTCCACTGCCCGGCCCTTTAAGCCAACACGGTAAGAACCCTTCCAGGCAGAGCCTAGGTAGGGAAAAACACATGGTTTTCTTAAGAACTCGCAAGAGCGCGCGCGGACGCTTTTGTTGAACATCCGTGTCGCGAAACGATGTGTTTTCCGCGTTCTTGGGGACACTCGATTTTGAAATCCTTCCGAAACTGAAAATTGTTTTTTAGATTCCGGCATGCGCGCGCGACCACGCGCGCGTGTGCACTTCGTCATATTTTGTTGCAAAGGGTTTTTGAACAAACTGTGATTTGTTATCCACGAATGCGCGCGCATAGCATTTGTTGCAGAAGATGGCGGGGGGGGGGGTCGATACCAGCCTGGCTGGGATCGCACGAATTCACAAATAGGATGGACACGGGGTCAGAGCCATATGCGTGTTACATCGGTCCCTGGGGGGGGGATAAGTCCAGGCGGGGTAGAACCCAGATGCACCGCGACATTCTCCCACGCTCGTGCAAACAGCCCATCCTCCCACCCGCAGCTTGGTCGGCAAGACTGATCAGGTCGCGACTGCACTTGCAGCGTGGAGCTCGTCCGCAAATCTCATCGAGCTCACGGGCACGCGGACCCTCGTGGCGCGGGCAAAGTCCATCCTGCGGGAGACAGCGCGGACGGCAGCGTCGACAAACGACACTGAGGTGGCTGGCAGAACTCGTAAGGTTGCGAGTACAGTTGCAGCGTGGAGCTCCTCCGATAATTTCATCGCGATCATTGGCGCGCGGACGCTCGTCGCGCGGACAAAATCCATATTGCGGGAGACAGCGCCAACGACGGCGTCGACAAACGA